TTCGACGTTTAATTGAAGAATCACACGGCAAGAAAAATGAACTTAAACGATAACTCATATTTAAAATTGAATTGTAATAGATTAAGTACTTTAAAAAAAGTTTTGCCCTTTAATGAAATTTATTTAGACTCTGAGCTCAGCGTGACGGTTCTAATGATTCTACGATTCAACGATTCGAACTTTTTAGGTCGCACAGCAACCTATTTCTCTGCTTGGATTTTACATGACAATCTACGTTTTATTTATTATCCAATAACACAAATAGTTATTAACTAATGCCTGTAAACGTTAATTTAATTGAAGTTTATAGTATTAAAAAACGTGCGATTTATATCTTCGAAATGTATGTCTTATGCAACGAAAGTAAATACGAAATTTGAGAGTGATCACAGTTATTATTCATTAACAATTCTAACGTTTAATCGATAAATTTGTTAAATAAACTTTGTTTATTGCCTCGGCCACGCTGATGTATAGTTAAATTCGCCGCGGTAGCTTTTACCCTACTGTAGTACAATATATTTGTGCTAGAGTGAGCCACAGGCTTATACTGGTTCACAATGTTCATATACTGGTCAGACATGTTCTCCCTTCTTCAAATTCACAAATAGGTGATAATGTTTGATCCTTTAGATCGTAGATGCTCATTTAGATCCTTTCGTAAATTTTCAAAATAGGTAAGGAATAATTTAACTTTGGTTTAGCATTACACATAAGTATACTTGAATCTTCTTTGATATGATTATGTATTGATGTGATATTGATATGATATATATGTCGGAGATGAAAGGACACCGGAGCCTCCCTTCTGGAACTTCGGGAAAATCCGTAAGATTGTAATTAAAGCTTACAGTTGTAACTAAACAATTTGCCGTCATTCTGCCCAATTGTACTTGTTAGCGATTGGTGATAATAAACTTGGGCTCAAGGCGACCATCAGCCGCCGAACGTAGCCGCGGTCAACGGAACGGGCGCTTCATCTAATAAAGGTATGGAGCGATAGTATGACCCTCATTAAAAGAATACCCATAGAGCTACCTGACAGTAAAACATGCCAACGGTTCCTTCGGACAACGAATACCAGATGTTGAGGCACTTACATAGCACAAGTCCAGTTAGCCCAAGGATCCGCTATAAAACCTGGGTTTTTTCGGTAATTAAGATTCTTCAAACGGACAAGCAGTCTTTGTCCCAAATTGACCAATTGAGAGCGACATCAATTTCCCTTACATTCGGAACGAGGGCTATACTCGACGAATCCGACGATCTCGTGTCCTTAGACACACCCCATCATAGTTTTCCTCGGTTCCTCGGTGGCATCATCGGGATCATAGTTTTCCTCGGTGGCATCATCGGGACGAAAATTCATTCTTTCTTGAGATCTGATCGACGAAGGGAGTAGCGCCTTACGATCAGAGAGTGGTACACGTTTGAGTTAGAGCAAGGATATCTATCCTCCCGTTGACCGTGGATTCGTTATTGAGCCTGAGACCATCGTCACTAGTGTCGCGTGTGTGTGTCCGCCGTGAGTTCGCGTCTGTTTACATCCTTAATTGTGACAATAAAAGTACCTTACGTGCGGTAAGACGATGGAGGACTTCAATGACGAATTGTGGACTCGGACTCGGATTGTGACTCGATATATACATTTAATATATCATAAATAAATCAATGTCCATCTACAATTTGCATGCTGTATGGATATACATTACTTTATGGCGGGAACATGGCGGGAATAACATGTGGCGCACCACGGTAATGTACGTCAAATGTACGAAACAAACGACTCCAATATGGCGAATGTGAGGGACAGTGATACGTCGTTGTGGCTTCATAACAAGCTTGGAACGTCAAATGATAGCTGGACTGGAAGCTCAATTTGTTCACAACTCAACGCAGAAGTACTGCGAAATATTAAAGACTGTTTTCCAGATCTTCAAACGCAAGTTAAACTTAAATTACTTCTTTCATTTTTCCACATTCCAAGACGGAATGTCGAGGAGGTAAGACACAGTTTGTTTGTTACAAATATCTAAGGCACGAAAAAGTGCAGCAATTTGTTCTTAAAATACGCGTAAAAATATTTATAACGATGGCTTCAATACGTTGAATATTGAATAATCCATAAAATAAATTTATGAATTTTAATTATTTATACTTTAAAAAAATATGTAATGTATTCCTTCATTTTTAATGTAATTGATATTTGATATTTGATATTTTAAGCTTAATTTATATGTATAAATATATATATATATATGTTTGTAATTTATTATTTTATTAAACTGTGCAGTGGCGTGTTGAACTGGAAGAAATCATTGAAGTGGCATCATTGGACAGCGAATTGTGGGTATCAATGTTATCCGAAGCGATGAAGACATTTCCATCAACAGGTTCTTTGAACACAGATATTACTGATTTAGATGAACATAGGCCTATTTTTGGAGAATTAGTTAATGATCTTCGGAAACTTTTGAAAAAACAAAATGATCCAGCAATGCTTCCATTGGAATGTCATTATCTTAATAAGACTGCTCTTACTTCTGTGGTTGGTCAACAGCCTACCCCAGTCAAGCATTTTACTCTAAAAAGAAAACCAAAAAGTGCTGCATTAAGAGCAGAGTTGCTTCAAAAGAGTACTGATGCTGCGAGTAATTTGAAAAAGAGTACTGCTCCTACAGTGCCTGTGAGGAGCAGAGGAATGCCTAGAAAAATGACTGACACAAGTAAGCTTATATATGTAGTTCTAACTAGGATTATCTTGAAAAAATAAAGAGAATATGAAAATATAAAATAATATATTATTTGCAGCACCTCTGAAAGGCATTCCTAGTAGAGTCCCTCCAAGTGGTTTTCGCTCTCCCTCACTTACGAGTTCTTCAATGTCTAATAGGACACCTCTCAGTAATAGGATGCGCAAAGATGGTGGCATTAAGTTATTAGATATTAATGAGCAACCACTTGGCTATGCTCAAGCAAAGAAACGAAAGAGAATGATAGAATTAGAAGAACAACAGAAGAAAGTTGCAGAAGCTCAAGCAGTGGCAGCTGCCGCAGCATCAACAGCTA